ATATTCAAAGATAATGCAAACTTAAAATGCTATTTCCAGGGAGACTGGGTGACATAGTTGGTTAAGCATCTGACTTGATATCAGCTCAGGTCATGATCTCACAGTTCCTTGGCTTAAGTCCCCTGTAGGGCTGCAAGCTGACAGTGTGGAACCTCCTTGGGATTCTCTCTCCCTCTCTCTGCTTCTCCCCTGTGTGTGGTTTGCTTGCTCTCTCTTTCTCAAAATAAATAAATAAACTTAATAATAATAAAATAAAGTGCTGCTTCCAATAAATAAAATAAAATGCTGTTTCCTGCTATCAAAGTGTTCTTCATTCAACAAGCATCTGTGGAATCCTAATTCTTGTATATTAGGTAGGAGCTCATAATATAAATATGAAAACACAGCTCTTGGAATGCCTGGTTGGCTCAGTCGATCAAGCATCTGGTTTTGGATTTCTGCTCACGTCATGATCCCAGGGTTGTGGGATCAAGCCCCACATCGGCTACACACTGAGCATGGAGCCTGCTTAAGATTCTCTCTCTCCCTCCCTCTGACTCTCTCTAAAAAGTAAAATAAGGGGCGCCTGGGTAGGCATGAGACAGCTTTCCGACTTCAGGCCAATGATCTGCAGGTCTGTGAGTTCAGCCCCGTCAGGCTCTGGGCTGATGGCTCCAGGCCTGAGCCTTTTCAATTCTGTGTCTTCTCTCTGCCCTCCCGTTCTGTATCTCCCTCTGTCCCAAAAAAATAAATAAACGTTGAAAAAAAAATAAAAAGTAAAATAAAATAATAAATAAATAAATAAATAAATAAAAATAAAGAACACAGCCCCAACACTTGATGGATTCATCTGACTTAAGAGTTCTGAAAATATGATTGGTCACAATAACCAGTTACTCAAAAATGTCTGTTAATTTATCACTGTTCCCAAAACACCAATATTAGATATACAACTATATTTTCTTCTTTTTTTTTTTTTTTAATTTTTTTTCAACGTTTATTTATTTTTGGGACAGAGGAGACAGAGCATGAGGGAGCTAGAGAATCGGAAAGCATGAGCTCCGACTCTGAGCCATCAGCCAGAATCCGGCTGAGGGCTCGAACTCCAGCCATTCGTCATGACTTCTAGCTGAAGTCAGACGCTCTTCGACTTCTTTCTAGCATTAATATTTTTCTCATGGAAACTTTACACAATGTCTATACCAAGTGTAGCTATGGAATTTTAAACCTTATAAGCTTGAAAATAAAGTAAACTATACCAAATTTTGGTCACAGAATAGAATAGGAAGTTATAATTTCTCATTTTAAAATACAGATAAAATGACATTTGTTGAAAAATTTGTACTCCAGACGTAAAGATAGGAGAGACATGTCATTAAACAAGAAAATCATTCAAAGTGTACATAGGAGCAGTCTTTGTATATGGCAAGAAGAAGACAAGGGTGAAATTTTAAATGACTAAGCTTTGAGGGAGATTTCAGAGGACTCTTTAAACCTAAAATCTAAACTAATAAATTGATCTAGGGTGGGGAGGAGCAGTTATTGACTTTAGTTAAATATTTCCTCTTGGATACAGCCTAAAGAGAAGCTTTCTGACTTGCTCTGGGTGATTTACAGGGAAAGTATAGTCTTCATCTGACTGATTACCTTGAGGTTCACAAAGTTGCCCTGACTCCCTGCCCTGGGAGGTCATGCAAATAAAGCAAACTGTGCAGTCCTGGAATTTCTGAGTTCAAAGTTTTTCTGTAGAGTGAAGCAACCCTTATTTTATAAAAGCTCTATTCTCACCAACTGTTGGACAGATTTCTGCAGTTTACACTGATTTTGTATTTAAACACTTTAACAAAATATATTTCCTAGATTAGAATCTTTTCCAGCTTTACTGAGATATTATTAACATTAGAGTAGCATTGTACCCACCAAAAAGAGACAGTGTATTGAAATAGAAAGAATACTGGTCTAAGATTGTATAAAAAGCTGTCCCTGCTCCTGGTACTTCCTACACTTAATGTAAAACATACTACAACTCCTGGGTCTCAGTTTCAACCTTTAGTAGATGCATATAGAAATACCCATCCTGGCCACCTCACCAGGTTTTTTGTTCAACTGATATCTACTGACAGACTTAAAAGAGTTCTGTGGAAAACTGAACAGTGCTCTAGAAATATATTATAAAAATTCAGTAAAATCTTCATTCATTCATTCATTCATTCACTAGGAGTTTCTAGTCTTCAGTAGGCAATCAACAGATAATTAAGAAAGTTTCAGCTACTGTTTATGTGATGAATTTTATTTAAGATTTTATTTGACACATCACAATAATTTCTTCTACTGTCTACACTTTTCCATTTTACCATGAGTGCGGGTGCATCCTGGGTCAGAAACTTAATCTCATTTAAAAGATATAAAAAATCTGAGTGATTTTGCCTAACTCGTGCCAGTGTTTGATAAAGTGGGTCAGTCATTTCATCTAATTGGCCATTAAGTCTCATGCTATCTGCCGTTATGTCAGATACTGGTGGGGACTTTTACATCCAGGCTTTCTCACAGCAATGAATAAGGAGTTATCATACCTGAGTTCCAGGGGCGCCTGGGTGGCGCAGTCGGTTAAGCGTCCGACTTCAGCCAGGTCACGATCTTGCGGTCCGGGCAGTTCGAGCCCCGCGTCAGGCTCTGGGCTGATGGCTTGGAGCCTGTTTCCGATGCTGTGTCTCCCTCTCTCTCTGCCCCTCCCCCGTTCATGCTCTGTTTCTCTCTGTCCCAAAAATAAATACCTGAGTTCCAGTACTTAATTCTATGCTTTGTTTTTCTTGATGACATTAAATTTTCTTCCATGGTTAAAGTTTATCTTTTTTATTTTTAGCAAACATTTATGGATTTAAACATTTAGGTAAAAAATTTTCTTTTTAGTACCCATGTGACCAAACGCAAAAAGAACATTTTCAGAGAGTGATTTTGAGAGTGGATTCTTTTGCCTTCATTCAGGATGTTTTCTGGCCCCTAATATACAAATCCTATTTAATCTTCCTGGCCCAACTCAAATGCCCTACATTTATAAAACTTTTTCTTTTCTTTCTTTCTTTCTTTCTTTCTTTCTTTCTTTCTTTCTTTCTTTCTTTAATGTTTATTTATTTTTCGAGAGAGAGATTGACAGAGTGTGAGCAGGGGAAGGGCAGAGAGAGAGAGGAAGACACAGAATCTGAAGCAGGCTCCAGGCTCTGAGCTGTCAGCACAGAGTCCGACGAGGGGCTCAAACCCACGAACCGTGAGATCATGACCTGACCTGAAGTCTGACGCTTAACCGACTGAGCCACACAGGCGCCCCATAAAACTTTTTCTTAACACTCCCAGCCTCCTTTTGAATTTCTGGAGCGTTCTGTATCATTCTTATGACATTTATCACCTCATATCTTGTGGTATGAATATTTTCCCCATGTCTTGCTTGATGGCCGTATGAGAGTAGACGCTATATCACAGAGAAGGGCCTTAAAGTCTCACACATAAATTTGATGAAGAATGAAGAAATTTGGAAAAGTCATTTAACTTCTCAGTACCTTAGTTTCCTCACATATACAACCTTATTTCAGATGATTGTTGTGAAGATGTAATGAGTTAATGTGTACAAAGTTTTGAAAAGTAGAAAATGAAGGGCAGGGTAAGATATTTTTTTTTTCTCACGCATGAATACCATGTTTTACTTGTTCATAATTATAATCTTCCATGTGAAGAGAACAGGCAAAATGATTCCAGAAAAGCCACAGATGATCCCAAGAGGTGATGAATTTTCAGGTTCAGATTTTAAACAGAGTGGAAAGAGGAAGTGGCACACTATACAAGAGCTGTGCTTTAGTGTTAGACTTGAATTTGAATCTCATCTTTGGCACTTGCTGGACTAGCTTTGTTACCTTGAGTAAGCTATTTAACTTCGGTGACTATTAGTTTCGTTATCTGTAGAATGGGGATGAGGGTATCGTGATTTGCGAGGTAGTAGGAGACACAGGGACAATGCGCCCAGTATACGTACATAAGCGGAGAGCATTGTTAATGCTTAGGAACTTGGGTTGAAATGTCCCCACAACCGCCCTTTGTCCTGTTGATAATATTTTCATCCTGGTAGTTTAAAGAGTTGTTCTAAACTGTGCAAAACGAGTCTCGCGCCGGGGCCTGGGAGTTATTTCTTCGAGAGTTACCAATAAAGCTTTGAATTAAAAAAAAAAAAGAAAAAAAATCCCCCAACGCCGTTTCAATAAAGCTTTGCTCAAATGGAGGGCGGGGAGTTTATCGCGAGACTCTGCCGGAACGCGTTTCCTGTTCGGGACGCTCTCTCGCGTTATGTGAGCAAGAAGCGCTGAGAGGTGAAAGGGAAGCACGAAATACCGCGAGAACCCACAGGATTCTCGCGGTATTTCCTCGGTTTGCCCCCTCCCCCCCTTCCCCAAGTGCCGTTTCGGTTTAACCTAGTGTGTGACTGAGTCTGTGTGAGGGAGCGAATGAGTGTGTGAGGTATTGAGGTGAGGCGGAGGCAAGAAAAGGGTCTCCCTCAGGAGCGAGGGACAAAGGGGGCGTGAGGCACCTAGGCCGCGGGACCCCAGCGACAGGAAGCCGCCCCGAGACGGGCTACCGGGTAGGGGAAGGGCCCGCGCAGTCTTCACAGGGCCCCAGAGCCGGAGTCGGCCCCACAGCCCCCGGGCCGTCGGCTTCCTACTTCCTCGACCTCCCCGGCGTCCGGGCCTGAGGACTGGCTCGGCGAGGGGAGGACGGGAAACAGACTTGGGCAGCTACCCGTTGTCTCGCAACTCCACTGCTGAGGAACTCTCATTTCTTTCCTGGCTCCTTCACCCCCCACCTCATGTAGGAGGGTGCTGAGGAGTCGGGAGGGAGGAGGAGCCTGGGCTACAGTCCCTTCCCTCCCCACCCCCTTCTAGGGGCGCTTTGGTAGGCGTGGGGTTGGGGGGTGGGTGGGGGTTACTTTTCGGAGTGCTGGGGAACTTTTTCCCCGTTTTGAGGGTAGGGGAAAGGGAATGCCCAATCCAGAGAGACATGGGGGCAAGAAGGACGGGAGTGGAGGAGCTTCTGGAACTTTGCAGCCGTCATCGGGAGGTGGCAGCTCCAACAGCAGAGAGCGTCACCGCTTGGTGTCGAAGCACAAGCGGCATAAATCCAAGCACTCCAAAGACATGGGGTTGGTGACCCCCGAAGCAGCACCTTTAGGTACAATTATCAAACCTTTGGTGGAGTATGATGACATCAGTTCTGATTCAGATACCTTCTCTGACGATATGGCCTTCAAACTAGACAGGAGGGAGAATGATGAGCGTCGTGGAACTGATCGGAGTGACCGCCTGCACAAACATCGTCACCACCAGCACAGACGTTCCCGGGACTTACTAAAAACTAAACAGACAGAAAAAGAAAAAAACCAGGAAGTCTCCAGCAAATCGGGATCTATGAAGGACCGGATATCAGGAAGTTCAAAGCGTTCAAATGAGGAGAATGAGGACTATGGGAAGGCACAGATATCCAAAAGCAGCAGCAACAAGGAATCCAGGTCATCCAAACTACATAAGGAGAAGACCCGGAAAGAACGTGAGTTGAAGTCTGGGCACAAAGACCGGAGTAAAAGTCATCGGAAAAGGGAAACACCCAAAAGCTACAAGACGGTGGACAGCCCCAAACGGAGATCCAGGAGTCCCCATAGGAAATGGTCTGACAGCCCCAAGCAAGATGATAGCCCCTCGGGAGCTTCTTATGGCCAAGATTATGACCTTAGTCCTCCAAGATCTCACACCTCTAGCAATTATGACTCCTACAAGAAGAGTCCTGGAAGTACCTCAAGAAGGCAGTCAATTAGTCCTCCCTACAAGGAGCCCTCGGCCTACCAGTCCAGCACCCGATCACCCAGTCCTTACAGTAGACGACAAAGGTCTGTGAGTCCCTATGGCCGGAGACGTTCTTCCAGCTATGAAAGGAGTGGCTCTTACAGTGGGAGATCACCCAGTCCCTATGGTCGAAGACGGTCCAGCAGCCCTTTCATGAGCAAACGGTCTCTGAGTCGGAGTCCACTCCCCAGGTGAGCTATTTCTCCAACAGCCTTTTCTTACTTAGGGTGGGTTATGAGGAACTGGCAATTAGTCATGTTAACATTTTGTTGAAACCCCTGGTCTTCCTCATTGACTTTGCTATTGGCTAGTGAATTCAAGTAGGTGAATCTGGTTTTCTCTCAACCCAGAATTCAAGAAGTGGAGAGCTCACATGCCTAAAACTTCTAAAGGTAGGTACTCCCTGTGGCGAGATACTCAGTTGGAAGCTCCTGTGAGAAAAATCATAAATTTGTGCTTATTGAGTGCACAGAGTTGATAACTGAGCTTATCCCAGAGCTGATGTAGCGATTTCTGTTGCTTTGTCTTAAATACTTTAAAATCACCTTGGTGTTAGTGCTTTAGACCTCACTGGACCTGATTGGAGATCTAAGAAATTATAAATTTTCATTTGTATTATCTTGAGGTATTTGCCCAAGTCATCTATCACTTGTGTGTGGGCTGTCCCCTGGGTCTCCGAAGCTGTAAGTTTATTTCCTAATTGACGATGTTTTGATAATTCCTGTCTTTTAACTGATGTTTTTAGTGGAAATTCAGCTGTTTAGTCCTTTTTCTTTTTGTTGGTATATAGCCTAGCAGAAATTGGTTCCAAGGATAATTTGATTATCAGCATCACCATTGACCTACCCTGTGACCACTGGCAATTTTCAAAATCTTTATCTAAACAAGCGGTATTAGTGCCTTCATTATAGGTTAGCAAGAAAGGCATGTTGGGTTTGAAATTTAATTGTTGAAATGAATTACTATTGAAAACTGTTCTTATTCCTAGATGATAAGATGTGTCTCCCTTTTGTAGACTCACTTTTGTCCACAAAAGAACATGGGCTATGAGGTTATACTTGAGTGGTATCCTAATTTTGCTTTGTGAACTTTGGCAAATAATTTAGTTTCTCCCTGCCCGTGTTTCTTTATGTGTAAAGTGGGAATAATAACTATCTTATTTCTAGAGTAATTGTGAGGATTAAATTAGCTAGTAAATGTGAACTGCATAGCTCAGTGCTTGGTACCTGGAGCAAGTCAGTAAATTCTGTGAGTGAGGAAATATTGTTGAATGCTAGTGGAGAAATTATGCTAATTTTTAAAAATCCGTGCGTGTCTTTTATATGTCAATATGAGTAATTTTTACTGACTTAAAGTTACAATTATTCATAAACTAGTTTGAATTGATCAAGCTGCAGAATTCAGGCTGTCAGGGTCTGAAGTTCCTTAGTCCCCCTCCCCGTCATTTTATCACAATTTTTCAAACACAGAAAAGTTGAAAGAATTACAGTAAGGACCCATATATGTACTGTCTAGATTCTACAATTGATATATGCTATATGTTTTATTGTAATTATCCATTTTTCCATCAATCCATTTTTTGTTTTGATTCATCTCAAAGTTGCAGACATCAGTATACTTCACTATAAGCATTTTAGTGTGTTGTAGATAGCATTAGAGTTCACTTTTTTTTGAAGGGGTGAGAGGAAAATTTATGTACAGTGAAATGCATAAGTCTTAAATATACCGTTTATAAAGTTGCTTAGTTCTTTAAGGAAACCTAAGAAATATTCTCAGAATACCTGTTTTCTTGAGGGCGTAGTTTCATTAAGGCTGTTTTGAGAATTTCTATTGTTGTGAGTTTTGTTAATATGGAAGTGCACTTAAGCCTAAAACAGTAAAACAAGTTTCAGAAAGAGCTTGCTTTGCAATGATTCCTTTTGGATTCATATCTCAAGTTCTCTCTTCCTCTACTCAGTTAATTGAAACTCATGTAGTAATGGTAAAAAATAAATCAGGAAAGAATTAGACACACAATATGATAGCATAGGACAGAAGTATAAACATTACATAATTTTAGAGACACATGTATATTGTTAGTTGGGTTATAGAGAACATTATATGTTTGTATGTGTGCACTGCATATTTTTCCCACACTTGATGCAATTCCAGAGAGCAAATAAAATACAAAAATTTCTTAGAGTCAGAGTAGAACATACAGTTCCCTTCTGTGATATTCTCTGTTTTTTTTCTTGGGAGACACAGTCAAAATTAAACAAGCAAAATCATTTTAAAAGACTGGAAGTGCTTTGCCAGAAATGCAAAGTCTTTGAATTCTCTAAATTAGTAGCGATTAATACTAGCAATTTCATTTTGGATGGGTAGAACCTAACTCAATTCAGGAGGAAAATACGTTTGTTTGTGAGAACAGTTTTTATTGTTGCCTGCATTTACCTTTATTGCTTGTCTCCTCTCCCCACCCCATCCCCTGCTCTTTTTCTTTTTTTAATTTTTTTTTTTTTAGTGTTTGTTTATTTTTGAGAGAGAGAGAAACAGTGTGAGTGGGGGAGGGTCAGAAAGAGGGAGACACAGAATCTGAAGCAGGCTCCAGGCTCTGAGCTGTCAGCACAGAGCCCGACGCTGGACTCGAACTCACAAACTGTGAGATCATGACCTGAGCTGAAGTCGCTACCAAACATACTGAGACACCCAGGCAGTGCCCCCCGTCCCCACTTTTTTTCTTGTAGAGTGGATCTCAACCTCAAATATAGCATTTGTATCACTAAAAATGCTGTAAGTATATGGCCATCAGAATGTTCTCTTAACAGTAGGCTTCTGTTCAGAAGTTGAAGGGTTTGTAGCAGAGTTCCTTAGGAAGATTTAGTAATGGTGAAAAGATTAAAGAAACAATGGTTTTTAGAGCATGGTCTCTGACATTAATTACTGTTTGGGATTTTAGAAGTTTACCCTGGCATAGCAGAGATGGTAGTTTTATCCCAGCTCTAATTCAGTCAGAGAAAAGCCTCTGGTTTCAGCCAGTTATTTACATGAAAAGTATTAATTTTCTTAAGAGTAAGTGGATACTGAGAGAACCACTTTCAGTATTCTGTATCCTCATGTTTATATATATGCTGTTATTGCTGTTTTGAGTACTTTGATTCCAATAATGACTATTAGGAGCAAACTTCCAAAAAGCAGTGTAGGTATAAGAAAATCGTGGCTGATATCATGCAAGTTGTTTCCCCTACACATATATGCTATTTATTTCGAAACATTTGACTAATGTTAGTGTTATCAGCGATCAAAGATAAAGGGAGATATTGAAGATCTGGAATGGGTACAGTTTATTTTAGACTACTGGGCAAATTATATTTTGTCCAATAACATTTTTTTTTTTTTTTTAATTTTTTTTTTTTCAACGTTTATTTATTTTTGGGACAGAGAGAGACAGAGCATGAACGGGGGAGGGGCAGAGAGAGAGGGAGACACAGAATCAGAAACAGGCTCCAGGCTCTGAGCCATCAGCCCAGAGCCCGACGCGGGGCTCGAACTCACGGACCGCGAGATCGTGACCTGGCTGAAGTCGGCCGCTTAACCGACTGCGCCACCCAGGCGCCCCTGTCCAATAACATTTTTAGTGCTTTTTTTCACCTCACATTGAGGCCTGAGCACATTAGGCTTTATTAAAAGGCAAAACGAATTAATGAGGGTTGAGTTTCAATTTAGAATAATCTGCCTCATAGATTCCCAGATTCTTAATAATGAAGAAAATAAGTTGAACATGCAACAGTACTTTGCTTTTTGAGTTCCTACAAAGTTGATTGGAAATCATTTTATATACGAAAGTACCAAAAGTCACCATAGTTCTGAGAACTTCTAATTATTTGGTAAGACAATTTTTTCAACTTATCTATTTTGTAAATCCTAACAACTCTTGTATCTTAGGGTTCATTTAGTATAGGTACAGCTTAATTATCAACTGGGGAGCAAAATCTTTTTCTGGGATCTATCAATTAACTAGCTCTCTAGTTGCCACAATTAGCTTTTGGTGAAGCATGCTAGTTACTTCTAACATCCTGATTGGTATCACCCACCTTTAGTATAAAGTATAACTTTTTTGGGAGGGCACCTGGATGGCTCAGTGGGTTCAGCATCTGACTTCAGCTCAGGTCATGATCTCCTGGTTCATGAGTTCCAGCCCCACATCCGGCTTGCAGCTATCATCGCAGAGCCCTCTTGGGATCATCTCTCCCCCGTCTCTGCCCCTCCCCTGCTTGCACTCTCTCAAAACAAAACAAAAAAGTATAATTGTTTTAAATCATGTTTTTGCTTTATCAGAGATTTAAACCCAAATTCTAAAAATAATCATTGTGATTATGGGTGTTTTCCAGCATGGAGAAAAAAATATTCATTCATCTTTCTTCAGTTGGATAAGTAATAGATAATTTTAATGTTATGTGATTGAAATATGTTGTCATGCAGGTTTTAGTTCCTTGTATCTATTTTTTATTATTTAAAATTTTTTTTTTCAACGTTTATTTATTTTTGGGACAGAGAGAGACAGAGCATGAACGGGGGAGGGGCAGAGAGATAGGGAGACACAGAATCGGAAACAGGCTCCAGGCTCTGAGCCATCAGCCCAAAGCCTGACGCGGGGCTCGAACTCACGGACCGCGAGATCGTGACCTGGCTGAAGTCGGACACTTAACCGACTGCGCCACCCAGGCGCCCCTGTATCTATTTTTTAAATAAACTTTATATTTTAGACAAATTTTAGATTTACAAAAAATATTGTGAATACAGTACAAAGAATTTTTTTTTTAAGTTTATTTATGTATTTTGAGAGCGTGTGTGGGAGGGGTAGAAAGAGAGGGAGAATCCCAAGCAGGCTCCACACTGTCAGTTAGTGCAGAGCCCAGTGTGGGGCTCAAACCCATAAACCATGAGATCATGACCTGAAATAAAATCAAGAGTCGGCTGCCTAATTGACTGAGCCACCCAGGGGCCCCAGTACAAAGAATTCTTATACGTCCTTGCACCCAGTTTCCCTTATTATTAACGTTTTACATTAGTATTTTACATTTGTTACAGTTAATGAACCCATTAATAAACCAATATTGGTATATTATTATTTGATGGTACCTAATTTATTTTTAAGATTGATAAATTACTCAAGTGGGTTCTTTACAGTGCTCCATAGTTTTTTGTTTGTTTGTTTGTTTGTTTTTTAGTGAGCAGTATTAGAGTATAAGATTAGAAAGTAAAAATAGTATGAAAGCTCTCTTTACAAAGGAGGGGCATTTGAAAGTGAATGTCCCTACATTGCTCCATAGTTTAACGGATGTATTTCCTCCATATTGTTGTAGGCTGTCCATCTTAAATTGTCTTTTTCTTTTTCCAGTAGGAAATCCATGAAGTCTAGAAGTAGAAGTCCCGCATATTCAAGACACTCATCTTCTCATAGTAAAAAGAAGAGATCGGGGTCACGCAGTCGACATTCCAGCATCTCACCTGTCAGGCTTCCATTGAACTCCAGCTTGGGAGCTGAACTCAGTAGGAAAAAGAAGGAAAGAGCAGCAGCTGCTGCTGCAGCAAAAATGGATGGAAAGGAGTCCAAGGGTTCACCTGTGTTTTTGCCTAGAAAAGAGAACAGTTTAGTAGAGGCTAAGGATTCAGGCTTGGAGTCTAAAAAGTTACCCAGAGGTGTAAAATTGGAAAAATCTGCCCCAGATACTGAACTGGTGAATGTACCACATCTCAATACAGAAGTCAAAAATTCTTTAGATACAGGGAAAGTAAAGTTGGATGAGAACTCTGAGAAGCATCCTATTCTTAAAGATTTGAAAGCACAGGGATCAAGAGACTCTAAACCCGTAGCATTGAAAGAGGAGATTGTTACTCCAAAAGAGACAGAGGTATCAGAAAAGGAGACCCATCCGCCTCTCCCCACAGTTACTTCTCCTCCACCTCCTTTACCAACTACTACCCCTCCACCTCAAACACCCCCTTTGCCACCTTTGCCTCCACTACCAGCTATTCCACAGCAGCCACCTCTGCCTCCTCCCCAACCAGCATTTAGTCAGGTTCTTGCTTCTAGTACTTCAACTCTGCCCCCTTCTACTCACCCAAGGACATCTACTCTGTCCTCTCAGGCAAATTCTCAGCCCCCTGTACAGGTTTCTGTGAAGACTCAAGTATCTGTAACAGCTGCTATTCCACACTTAAAAACTTCAACGTTGCCTCCTCTGCCCCTCCCACCCTTATTACCTGGAGACGATGACATGGATAGGTAAGTCCCATAGTTAACTGGGAAAATTTTACCTTCTCAATCTAAGTGTAATGCATTCTGTCTTCTCAAACTGTCAAAACTGCTCTATTACATGGCTGTTTAGAATGCTTTTTATGTGTAGGAAATGCCTTTGATGTTGGTTTTCAGTGGAAAAGTTCGTATTTATAACATTATTAGTTAGGAGGAGAAAATTACAATTTGAGGCCCTAGTAACCCTTTTTATTTGTAAGTTTATTTGATAAGGGTTATTTTTGGTTCAGATTTTTGAAAATCAGCGTTTTTCTCCCTAATTTTTTTTAATGTTTATTTATTTTTGAGAGACAGAGAGACAGAGTGGGAGGAGGGGAGGGGCAGAGAGAGAGGGAGACACAGAATCCAAAGCAGGCTCCAGGCCCTGAGCTGTCAGCACAGAGCCTGACTCAGGACTCGAACTCACGAACCGTGAGATAATGACTTGAGCTGAAATTGGCCACTTAACTGACTGAGCCACCCAGGCACCCCTCCATAAATTTTTGTGTTGAAAAAATTTTTCTTTTTCTTTTAGATTAAAACAAATATTTTTTAAGTAATCTCTAAACCCAGTGTGGGGCTTGAGCTCACAACCCTTAGATCAAGAGTTGCATGCTCCACCAACTGAGCCAGCCAGGTGACCCTATGTTGAAAATTCTAATAGTTATAGAAAAATTGAAAGAATAACACAATGAACTCTTGTATACTCTTCACCAGGATTCACCAGTTATTAACTTTCTGCCACATTTGCTTTAGATATCATGACACTTTACTTCTGAATACTTTAGTATATCTCTCCTGACACTGGAAACATTTTCCTAAAGAATCACAATACCTTTATCACCCTAAAAAAACTTCTCACTGATTTACTAATATAATACCAATAATATATTAAATATCCTTAATGATCCCCCAAAATGTCTTTTATAGCTGGAGCTTTTCCTCCTAATTCAGAAGAAAAATAAACTAGGTTTATCTTGAAAAGCACTGCTTTAAAAAAAAAATATATATATATATATATATGTATATATATACACACACACACACACATACGTATATACACGCATACATACATATATACATGTATATGTATGTGTATGTATATAGGGGCACCTGGGTGGTTCCGTCAGGTATCCGACTTTGACTCAGGTCATGATCTCATGGATCATGAGTTTGAGCCCTGTGCTGGGCTCTGTGCTGGCAGCTTGGAGTCTGGACCCTGCTTTGGATTCTGTGTCTCCCTCTCTCTCTGCCCCTCCCTTGCTCATGCTCTGTCTCTTTTTCTCTCAAAAAAATAAATAAAACATTTAAAAAATTAAAAAAAAATTATCTTAGAAGCAAAAAACAATACATAGAATTTTTAACTAATTGGAATATAAATTCACAATGGGATGATGGGAAGAGCTCCAGTTTTTTTTAGCTTGTTTTTAAGTTTATTGTATTTATTTTTTTGAGGGGGTAAAGAGCAGAGGGAGAGAGAGGGAGGGAATCCCAAACAGACTCCACACTGTCAGTGCAGAGCCCCATGTGGGGCTCGATCCCATGAACTGTGATAGCATGACATGAACAGAAATGAAGAGTCAGATGCTCAACCAACTGGCCACTTGGCACCCTGGAAGAGCTCTAATTTTTTTTTTTTTTTTTTTTTTTTTT